ATTAATTCAAAGATGATCAAACAGGATCGATAAAGTTGAACTAGGCTTCTTTTTTTTAACAGCTCTACCGATCAGTAATCTTTGACTTAACAAAATACTGAGTTATCTCGAGGATGTTTATTTTGCGCCTTAATTTACGATTTTCTTTCATTCTTTCAGTCTAATTTTCGTACCTACTTTTTTACAGAGATCAGGTCGTGATCCAATCTTCATAAATGGGGTTGAGTATTTCGTCTGTTGCAATGTTCTTAAAAAACAGTCTATATAAATTGCACTTCAGCAAGGAAAACGTTAACAGCTGGAAACAGCGTTTAATTTAAAAGGGCAAAATTCTCTGAACAAGTATAACTAATTCAAGCAGAGCATTAATAGTGATGATCTAACAATTTTTCGTCACGGAATCAATCCATTCCACTTGCATGCCAAGAGGGTCAAGATGGGAGTGGCTCAGTTTTCGTAGATCAGCTGTAACTATAAGGACTCTGTAAAACTTTTTATGGCAATAATGAACCGGCTCTAATGGAGACTTTTACATCCCAAGGTGAGTGCTACGAGAACGGTTAAGGCGGATTCAGTGTTAAGATCTGGGAAAGGGTGCCCACTCCTAAATCCACCCACGATTTTAAAACGTACTGAGAACCGTAGCAGCCGTTTTAAGAGTTTAAGGTACAAGGTCAACCTGCCGTAAGGCCGGACTAAATGAATAGGATGATGAGACTCCAGACACAAATAAAGAAATATTAGATGAAAAAGAGACCAGTGTGAAATTATTTTCAAAAAAAAAAAGGAAAAGAAAAAACTGGGTCCATGTACTAAGATATATTACGCACATTGTTTTAACTTACGTAAGATCAATGTAAGCTATTTTTCAGAAAAAAGAACAAAGCCCATGTAAATATATTGCTCACATTGTCCATAGTAATAGAAAAACAATGCTTTGAATCTCTCGTGGTGTGTGGTCTCTTCTTATTGAAAGGCATCTGCTCGGTCGCTGTTCTTCACTTGCCATGCTACTCTTTTCTTAAATCTATCACTCTGAACTGGGTCGCGGCATAAATCCCCTTTCCAAAAACAGCAAATCCTACATCATGCACTGTATGGGTTTCCTCACCATCTCTCAAGTACCCCTCTTTTTTAAGCAAGCAGCTGAATTAAAGTAAGTAAATAATATTAATAGAGGCTTTTAAAACCCATTTTCCCTTAAATCTCCTAATTAAAAGTTGAAATTTATTGCCTCCCTGTCCCCTATCCCTAAAACAGGATTAAAAACACCCCCAAGTTTTTTTTTTAAAAATATATAATAAACTCCATGCAACCTACCAAAATAATCAAATAATTGGTTTCTTATCATACCATAACAATAACAAGGCTCTGAAGAGAGGACTTTAGAACTATTATAATGAACCACCGTATAGTCTTGAAGCAATTGTAATTTTGCTGAGCAGCAACTACTGAGAAGTTACCATGCGCCTACTTAGGAATTGCCACAGACCTACACCAGCGGGATGTTGGAGCAATACAAGCAAGTCCCCCGAAGAGTGATGAACTGAACCGAACGTTGGCACTTAATATATGTAAAGAAATAACAAAAAAAAAAAGTTGTTGCCCCAATACTCCTACTATTAAAAGATCCCCTGCCTTAGCAGACAGAAAATCCAAATAAACATACATTGATACTTGTGTCGCTTTCTGAACCCTCGTAGTTGTTGTTCAACTATGGTGTCTTTCCTGAACTATGATGTGTTCATTGAACTAAAAAAGGAAAAAATTTATATGCTCTCAAACTGGCATTGTCCAACAGATTCGAGTCGTCCTTCTGAATTCTCAGTTCTAATTCTTCTTCATTAATGATGTCTTTTTTGGGTTCACAAATGCGAATGATGCCCCCTTCTATTCTCCTAAAAATAAAGTGACCCCCCATCCCCCCTCACAGCCCACCTGCCGTTCCCCGCCCCCCTCCCCAAAAAAGATAAGATAAGGGACGGACCATTAGAAAAGTTATGGGGGGGAGGGGGATTTTCGAGCCGCAGGAATTTTTTTTCGTTATCAAATTCCTTGCATGAATTTTTTTTAGGCCATAGCATGAAGATTTTTTTAGGATTAATTGGCGCGCACGAATTTTTTTCATTTCATTTTCCCTTGCGCGAATATATTTTTTCTGTACTTCGCCCCCCACCCCCCACATAAGTTTTCTAACGGTCCGCCCCTAAGTTTGATTCAAATTTCTTCCCAGGGCCGCTCGGTTGCTGAAATAAAAAAGAGAAAAAATGGCGGCAGTGATCTCCAGCGGATGGTAGCGCGCACACAAAAAAAGATATAAGGCAAGCGGTAATGAGAATTCTAAGAAGAGCTTGGGCGAAATATCAACAGCTGCTGATAACACATCCTTGGAAAACACAAACTATAGGAACAGGTATTGTAATTAATGAAATTCCGTTTTTAGATCGATTTTAGGAGACATCATCTCACTCAAATCATTTGAGTAAAGTGATGTCTTCTAAAAATCCAAAGCTTTATTGCTGTGAAATAAGCTTAAATCCTTTTACCGATCGCGTTGTAGGGGCTTAGAATTGTTCTGAAAGACAAATGAGCTTCGGATTTGCGGATTTGCCATTATTGAGCTTGAAATGTCCTCTAAATTGGCAGGGTACGAGGACGTTTGGAGACACAGTTGGGACAGTTTGTGTATTGTTAGATTTCCATACAATCAAAGTGGAAAGCATAGCAAAATGTGACCCTCCACAGGATTTTAATGCTAAAGGTGAAGGCACGCGCACGACACGCTTTCACTTCAAAACGAAAGAATTTATTTTAACACGCTTTACCAGGCTTGCAATCTTGTCTCATTAGCAATTTCTTTTGTTTCACAGGACACGCTTGAGACAATTAAGGGTGAGCAAGTCGAACAAAAGAGCGTGTTTTCAAACAAAAGCCCCGTGCGAAAAAGCACAACATGTTTTCAGTGTGCTCAAAAGCACGCAAGGCATGTTATCTATAAGCTGAATAAATTTCCTCTACAAAAAGGAACCGTAAATGATTATGAACAGCACCCTTTTTTGGTAACTATCGAGAAAGAAAAAGTTCTACCTGAGCGATCACAGCGACAGTATCTGATTGAAACACGTTGTGGCTTGAAAAGTATAAACAGTGAACGGTGGGACCAGGATCGCCAAATTGTATTTATTTTTTAGCAATTGCAAGGATCGTAGTGATCAAATGAAAACCAGCCTGCTTTTGTAGGTGTACCAAAAATTACAAAATGGTTTCAATGTTGCTTAATTGATCCGGCCAGCAATAACACAAGAATCGAAACTGGTATTTAAACAATGTATGCAAATTTGTTCTTCTTGGAATATTACATCATGTATGCTTCAGTCTTATTGTCCAAATTTCGTAATCATCCTGTTGTCTTTCTTGTGGTTGCCGTCTGTTTGACAACCATCTAAACAAACACTTGCGCTATGAAGTTGCCGCGACCGATTTAGTGTCATCAGAAGTATTACGGCCTGCAATAAATTAAATATTTAAGTGTGTTAAGTAGTCTGCTACACAGCCGTTTTTTGGAACGGTCATCTAGAATTGTTTAGCCTTCCTCAACCTATAGAAAATTCTAAGCAGTTTTTGTTTCTCTGATCTAATTACCTTCGTTCGTCTCAGCATGGCTTAGAGAAATATATTAAACTAATTTATTCAACTTCATTTCTCTGTGCATTACTGCTAATAAATATTCCGGTGGCATAACTATAATTTTCAGCCGACATATAAACTTAAGTGCCTCGCATGCGATAGCAGGCCTCTTTCCGATTCCGGTCAACAGCCGACAGCCGGAGGAATTGGTTTACACTGATCTCGCGTTAGAAAAGGCCTAAATCAAACGAAACTCTGGGCATGAAACCACACTATGGCGCGCTGTTTGTTTCAAAATTATATTTGTCAGACGATGTTGTATGATATCATCGTCTTCTTGTCATTTATCTCTCATCTCTTATTTGGCATCATTTGTTGTTGCTTTTTCATACGTCTCCTTGTGATATTTGGTGCTTCAGAGAGAGAGAGAGACTCGGTTTAACATTATCTCTGTCGTTTGTACGCACTACTCTATCAGTTCTATCCATTACTCTGTCAGTTGTACACACTACTCTGTCATTTGTAAACATTTTCTCTGTTAACACATGCACTGAGGGGTGTCCATATTAACTGGGTTGAATTTAGAGAAAATGTAACTTAAGAGTAACTTAACGACTGTCTTTCCCCAGGGACAAAGCAAACAGTTTGTAATAACGAGGTGTCTTTATTAAGCAGGTGTCCTAAAAATGGGGTTTGACTGTATACACAGGGCTGTCAACTCTCCTGCATAATCTGGGAGACTACAGATTTTGAACCATTTCTCCCAGTCTCCAGGTTAGAGTCTGAAATCTTGCGGGTAATCACCATGGTTTGCCATTTCTTGTGGAATCGACTTTCTGACAGTGGAATTTTTTCAAATACTTTGCTTTGTACTTGTTTGAGCTATTTTACTGTTAATATCAAACATTTCCTCACAAATAATATAAGCAATAATGTGGTTGGTGGGAAGTAAGCCAATTAATTAGGTCAAATGTGACAATTCCAACAACATCTTTTTGTGCAGTTTTTTTTCACAAATGATGTCATGTGCCGTGGCCATTATGACATCATTTATCATCCCTTATCTCATCAATTCTCAATATTTGAAGATGTGAGGGGTTGACAGCTCTGGTATACACCTGGTCCCGGTTGTTCAAAAGATGGATAGCGCTATCCACAGGATAAATCATTATCCAGTGGGTAAGTGTTAGGAAAACTAATTGCGCTATCCAGTGGATAGAGATTTATCCAATGGATAGCATTAATTATCTACCTTTTGAACATCTGGGGCCTGATTGAAAAAACATTGTTGCTTGAAAAGTATAAACCATGAACGATGGGATCTAATGGATTTATGGGTAGAACTTTATTAGCATTGCAAGTTCTTTTCAGAAATGTTTACTTTATTGAAGCTTTTGGTGACGATGCATCCAAAAAATATCAAACGTTTTCCAGATTTTGTGGCAATAAGCTCACAGCTTCACCTGTCCTGGACACATAACAGATGTCTACAACTAAAGAGCATAGGTATATCACAAACGCACACTTGAAAATCATAAGATATAGGACATAAAAAGCTTTCTTGGAAGACAAAAAACAACAACAAAGGCATGCCTTGCAGAAAGTACTTTAGGTATTTGCATCTGCACGAGTATCTCTTGACAATGCAAACTTTTGTCAAAAGATCTTTGAATCTGCTTTGCTAATGAACATACTTGTATACCCATAAATACTTGAGGCCTCATCATTCATGGTTTATACTTTTGAGCGACGACAATAACAACATTATCTGGAGGATAATGCTCTTGGCCCACAGATTGTCTTCATGCAAATTTCACAGTAGATACCTACACATGTATATGTACAGTACATGCAGCTCAAAACAACTGTCCAAAAAATGCGTGTGTGCAATTTGTACCTCTGCATCTGAGTGTGCGTGTATCTCTGACACATCTGATTAGTATACATGTATGGGCCAGCTTTATACCTCTTTCACAATGGTGTCCTATTAATATATATATTTTTTATATGTGTGATAAATTCAGGCTTTCGGCCCTCGTTTGAAAGTAAGAATTGTTTTGTATTTTACACATGTTCAAGGCTGCTGCCTAAGAAAAATTTTAGGGAGCCCTTCGGGCTCCTAAAGTTTAAAGTTAGGAGCCCGAGCCACATTGTTAGGAGCCCAGTTTGAAATCCATGTATTGTTTTTCCAAGATCATTACATAGGTTATAGAGGTTCTTGCACACTTTAATAAGAATTCGCCGGGCCTAATAAATAACACGTAAACAAGAATTAACCGAATTATTTACTTTCATTTATTAATTTATTCAATTAACTTCCACATCTGTTGTGTTCAATGTGACCTAGAAGAGCCTTCAAAGAATTTTCTAAAATGTAACAATTAAACTGCTTCTTACCAAGGTCAAGAATGTCAAGTTGTCACTACGGATTAAATAAAACCGCATTGAATATAGGTCAAATGAAGGCACAGCATCTTCGGTTGTGTTTTAAAAGCGGGAAATATATTTTATTGTTTTGAAAGAGACAGTTTCCAAATCGTTATCTATATTAATATAAATGTTCACATACGGAGTCGTAAGAAATAAACATTGCTTACCTGTTGCGAGAATTCCATTGTAGTCACTGGGCTTAAGACAAATTGCTGAAACCTTTGTCGATTTTACCGAGAAAAGAAGAACCTTTGCCGATTTTAGCGGGAAAAGCAGAACCTTTGCCGATTTTAGCGGGAAAGGGCGCTAAGCACGTGCAGCAAGGCAGAAATACAACCAACACAAAGTTGATCATTACTTTAATTTCTTTATTCAAGGTAAAGACATCACATTACAAATATGAAATATCATACTGCGTTCTCTGGCGTGTTGTTTTTTAAAGTCTCTTGAAAATGCTGATACGTTGCAAACTGGTACATGAAATCGAACATCAAGCACGTCCAGTCGATAGCACGCAAGATAGCTTCCCATTCTCGCCACAAAAAAGTTATCAAATCGACGAAAACCCAAGCAAACGATGAACTGCACGAATGTCAACATAGGCAACAAACAGCCCATAATTTTGCTATTCCATATTTGGAAGTCAAATCTCAGACCCAGTCTTCAACTGCCATCCGGACTCGGAAACGATGGCTTGTTAACGAGGTCAGAAATGGTTATTATAATCCTATAAAACGATACATATTTGATAGGCCACCAGATTGTAAAATACGTCTGTTGTCTACATATTGCTCTTATTTTGTGAAAGGTTTGAACCCAGGAGTCATTTCGTAAGTAGGCTGAGTATGTTTGTCTGGGTGAACGTAGTCCTGAATGTTGACAGTGACTGATGTTTCAACAACCTGTGTAGTATTCATCTTCTGAGTGACTCTGAAGATGAATACTACAGATTGTTGAAACGCCAGTGACTGTCAATAACAACAGTCCTATTCAAGACTCGAACGTTCACCTGGACATTCATGCATAAACTTTTGTTTTTATTTTGTTGTTAGTTTTTGTGGACTTTATTGTAAGTCATTGGATCTTAAACAGTGGGCATTAACTGAGGAACTGTATACAAGTAAACATACATTTATCTTCCTACAGTGTAACTCAAACATTTGAACAAGCATCCACATCATTGGCACTAAACGAATCTTTGGCTCAAATGTTTTCCATCCATTATTAGTTTGAGCATCTTGAGGAAGGATGAACATGTACATATACCAGCATGCAAAGTAAGATGTGTCTGATAGCCCGGAGCTAGTGGATTTTGCAATTGAGGTAGTGATTTGTGTTCTTAACTTGCCAGCGGGGCAAGTGAAGTTTTTTGGGAAATTCAAATTACAGAAGAACTGTAATCAATGCTGCTCATTAAATTTTTCGAGGGCTAATTAAAAGACTCTTAGGCTAGTACATACTAGCAACAACTTGCATGCCTGAGTGGCTGCTTGAAGCCGTAAAACCGACTTTCTTTGCACCCTGATATATACAGAAAGTAAACCAATTGCTCCACCTAGACCGATTACAAGAAATGTTGATGACATAAATTTATAAAGCACAAGACATAGTGTCAGTCATTTGGCTACAGTGAAGTTAGCTAAGAACTGTGGCCATGCCATTTCGACTTTAATATACATGTAAACATTCACAGAAACTATTTCACAAAGAGTGGAATAGAGCCAGCGATGTTTAATTGTTATGATGTTTGTAAACTTTCCATCATGGATACCCAACATTTTGTGTCTTTGACAAAACGTGAATTATATTTATTTAAACAATAATTGCTGACAGTACAATCTAACTTGACTGTGCATGTAAATTATTTTATTTACACTGGCAAGTTACTTCATGTCAGAGTCAACATAGAATGTTTTTTGAATATTACTAAGGATGTAGACCTCATTTCAAAATAAAGACTGTCTCTGCTAGTGTGGTTTTTTTGTATCTGTCAGGCCAAATCACATGAAATATATCACCATGTTGTACATTTTCTGCTCTTAGTAAAGTCAAGATTGACTTGTATAATATTGATAATAACTCTAAAAGGATAAAAGTGCAGGCTAGCAACTCCAAAAATGAAATTTCTTTGCAACTTACTGTTGTATTTATAATTTTTATTTATTTTGATTGCTTGACTGACTAGCAATAGAAAAAAGTGTTAAACAATTTATCTACATTTTTTTGTAATTTATATGAACACTTTTATAGTAATTAACTAATATTTCATTCTTAGGTTTTACAGTATCCTTCTTATAATTTACTGTGGTTTAATCATACTCTACAAGTAGTATCTAATTCTCTTTTGTTGTTTATTGTTGCTGATATTCAAAAATAGTAAGATTTCTGCTACAAATAATTTGAGAGCAATTTTCTACGAAAGACCTCATTATAGTACCGTATGTTCCTAGTGAGATTCTCAAAACAGAAAGATTAAAGGGGCTATGCCACACTATTTTTTAGGCATTGAAACCATTTGCTATAGACCTTTGTCACAACGGCCATTTTGTCCCAGCAGTTAGCCTGGCAGTAAGAAGGAGGCTAGCTGCGCAAATACAAAGCTTTTTTAATCTCTTGGGACAAAATGGCTGCCACGTGACAAAGGTCTATTGTTTGTAGCTATGAATGGCAAGGATGGACGTTGATTAAAACTTGAAAAAATTTTGCCACCCTTTTCAACTTTTAAAGCTTTGTGCTTGCAAAAATTACAAGCATAAAAATTGTTACAGTTAGTGCTCCATGGTGAAAAAATTTTTTTTGGTTATCTTCTTTAAAACTCTAAACAGGTACCAGTATATGTTTTTATATGGGTTAAGGGACTAAGTTCTGATGTATATGTAAGCTATCCATGAACATGCTATGGTACAACTAGGCAGCATAATATTATTGCAAAAAGAAGGTGGTGTCCAATAGCTCTGGACTGGTAAATTTTGCTATTGCTCTAGTGGATTTCATTCTTAACTTGCCCACTGTACAGGACAGTGACGTTTTTTGAGGGATTAAAATTACAGTCTAAGAACTGTGTAATCATTGCAGTTACCTCATCAAAAAGTATTTGGGGCTAGTTGAAATGACCTTTGGGCTAATGCATGCTACTACCTCATACAGCTTGCCCAAATGACAAGCTGTATAACTGACTTTCTTTGCACCCTGCTGATGTTGATTTCCATCAGACTTCTAGTCCCCTATTATTTCATAAATACTGTTGTAACTCGCATTCATCTAGGATGCAGATGTACCAAGGGGGGAGGGAGCTGCGATCCAAGTTTACAGAAGTTAAAGAGGAAGGATTTCATTCACTCCTCCGGATGTGAGCTACAGTGATGTGAGGACAGTCCCCCTATTCTCCCCAAATCAATGATCCTATACCCCCCACCCCCTCCCAACCCCTAGTCCCAGGGTAGAACTGATACTCATCCCTAGGTTGCACTCAGACCATGGGGCAAATTAAAAGAAAAAAAAGAAAGAAAGAAAGAAAGAGAGTGATTATCTAATGTGTTTATGTAAAGTATAAAAGTACAGGGGAAGTGGCAAATTGACAGGGTTGATTAAGCTGTTGCTGCCAATCCCACTTGCTGCCTCATTTATATACCCTGTGTGCCCCCATATAGCCTTAAAAACGCCCGTTTCACTACTCTATTTCAGACAAGAGACTCTCCAACCCATATTTAGGCTATTGAATCCGCCCTCCGACACAGATGTACATGTACACTGATTGAAATCTCCCACATTTTACACCTTGTTCAGGGCAACACCCTGTTTGAGAGGCTAATAGCAAAATTGTGTACTCAGTTTTATTAAGACTCTCAACCCCCCAAACCCATACCATGTTAACCATTAAGGCCAAATAAGAGAGTGCTTTCCCCTGGGATGCAAAGACAGTATAACTCTTCAGTACTTCTTGTTTTTGCCTTAGGTGTCCTTGTCGCTGCTGGAGATGTCATCACCCAGCAATTTGCTGAGCAAAGAGGCACAAATCATGACTTCAGAAGAACAGCTCGTATGGGAGTGGTTGGACTAGTTATTGGCCCTGTGCTAAGATCATGGTACCTTACACTGGAGAGGATTGTCCCTGGGACTGCCAAAACTGCCGGCTTTAAAAAGATGCTGCTGGATCAGAGTCTCTTTGCTCCTGTTATGATATGCTTCTTTTTCAGTGTGTCCGAGACACTTGCTGGAAAACGACCACATGAAATCAAAGAGATGCTCCAGGAACGCTATGTACAGACACTGATCACAAATTATAAGATCTGGCCCCTTGCACAGACTCTGAATTTTACGTTTGTTCCTATTCAGCACCGCGTTGGCTTTGTCCAAATTGTAGCAATATTTTGGAATGCATACCTGTCATGGATGGCTAACAGGCCGTCACCTGATACTGCAGCCTTAACTGTTAAGGGTTCTTTGGAGCTGGTTCAGTGATGTGACTCACAGCACCCTCTGTTTGGTTAGTTGATTCACTTAACCATCTTTTAACTACATTTATGATGTTAATATTTCAAATACAATTACACTGTAAAAGTACTAATATTGTTGTGATTACAATATTTATATAAATTAAAGCTATCTACAATTCAATGACACAAATTATAAAAAAAAAGTGATGTTTAAAATATTGGAATCACATTGTAATCTGACATTGAATGAGGTTGAGGATGAAAACTCGCATCTACAGACAATCCTTCAACTAATTCAGTTCTATAAAAAGAAGACTTAGTGTAGATAACATTCCCTTTTTTTTTGGTCCTAATTTGAAAAAAAAAAAAAAAAATAGTCTGTCACAATACCCAAATATGAACAAGGTCAATTTCAGCTTTTTTCATTTTTTATCACTGGCATTAATGTTACATTATTTGATTGCCCTAAGCACCTTTATCTAGCAGGTGCATAGCAAATTAAAATAGATTGGTAAAAGTGTCATTAATTTTGTTCATAACTTCGGAGGACTTTGAACAGTCTAAAGAAGTTGGTATCCTGGGACCAGGCTCCTTGGTGGGGGAAAAAGGCAAAAAAGAAAAGGGTGAAATGGGAAAAATAACATTGAGCAATCGAAGCAAGCTTAGTGGTGGGGAGGACTACCGCTTGGCTTGCATTGCTCGCCCAACGGTTTTTTTTTTTCGCCAACACTATTTTTTTCCTCCTAATTTCCCCCAATGTGGAGCCTGGGCCCAGACTAAGAGGTTGGTTGTATCTTCAAGGTTCCACTGCATTTGGTGTTAGTAGAGGGGATGGTGTTTACACAAAAATGGTACCTGACGTACTTTCTGTTACCATTGCTTATTAATTTTCTTCAGGCATATTTGAGTGGTGGGGGTGGGGAGGGTGTGTGTGTGTAACAAGCTGGGTTGGAATCATAATGCTATTATGTAAGACTGGAGCAGCAAGCCTTTAGTAATATTCTATTGCATGAGCGGTATTCCTCAGAAACTAGAGCAAGTAAATTTTTAAATAATACATGGTTTAAATTTTACATACTTGTTTCTATTATCATGTGATTATCACACACTGATAGCTCTACAGAACTCTACGGGCAAGAAATAATAAATTATTATAAGGCTGTTTTCAAAACATTGTTGGAGTGTTACTGTGTTACAAGGAATAAACCAATCAGGTAAAATAAGTATACAACGCATTGAGTGTATACTTATTTCAATGTGATTTGTGCGATGCAAATTATGTCGGGTACACTGCCCGACACTTACATCAACGCATAAGTGAACACCGTTATTCAGCCATCGGGAAACACCTTGAAACACAGCATGGCAACAACAGAACAAAGACTGACCATCTTTTCAAAGTTCTGAGGAAATGTAACAGCAAGTTTGCTTGCTTTTTTTAGTCTACGAGATGCTATACATAAAGGACATCAAGCCTTCTCTTAACACGCAAGCCGACTCCATTGGCGCCAAACTATTTACGTGACTCTTTCGTACATTTTATTTTCTTTTATTGTGTTTCTTATCTTGGGAATTATACCCATTGGACCCGGAAATATTTTATGTATTGTTTCAAATTTTATATAGTCGTTTTACACCTTATACTTTTACACTTTTCAACTTGATAATGGCGTAACGTAGCGCCGAAACGTCGTTCGTTTTTTTAAATGTTTTTAAAATGTATTTTAAACATCTTTTAGCGTTTAACTTTTTGATCAAATCATTTTCGAAATCTCTCCTGTTACGTAAAAATATTAAGCTACAAAAAACGCGCTCATATTTCATGTGTCATCTGTCGCGCTCATGGTATGTAAAAAAGGCAAAAACAGATCGCGATCTTTCTGCAAAACATGAAGGCCAATGACTTGTTCTTCAAAAAAGTGAAGTTTAATAAGCAACAGGACGGCAGAGGAAAGGAGACAGCAAACCTTCTGTGACAAGAGTGACAATCAGTAATGTTTGAAAAAAATTCCGCCAAACTTCAATTCAGAAGATCTTTTCGTAAAAGGAGGGGGCGTAAGGGGGTATGAATACCGCAATACCGCACGTGGTAGTGAGAGAAAACCGCAATAGCGCATCAAAATTTACCCAAATATCGAAACCGCAGTTGCAAATGGGAAGAAGGTGCCGTTCTCAAGACTAAAATCCGCCTTTTGAATAGTGTTTCCAAAGTAAGTGCGTCGATGTTAAGCATACGATAAACATATTACATACATGTACGACCATCGCACTCGTCTTTGTTTATCAAACGTTTTCAGTGAAACTCATATACGATAAGGTGCGATAACTGTCAGTCCATTTTTTCAAGTAGACTGTAGGAATGGAAAATGTCGATAATCGATGTACTGTTGAGGTAGGTTAACGGTTTCTCTGAATTTCCCCAGCCTCCTCTCCCCTCGATTTTCCAAACAACGGAACTTTTTTCAGTTTTCTGTAATTTTCGCCCCCTTTTCCTTCTTCGTAGAAAATTGCTACGCAATTCATAACGACCTCACTATTTACTGGATTATCTGACTGGTCACTGTGTTCACCATCTGGATCGCTCGCCATTGTTTCGCGACTGGCACGAAAGAGACGGTAAGAACGTTAGCCAAGACACATTTTAGGGCACTTTTTCCCGCGAAAATGAAATCTCCACCATGTCTATGAGCGCATTGTCTGGACTCTCTTTGCGCAATCATGACGGTCCCCGTCTGTGCAACTAAGGAGACACACAGGCTAGGGGACCTAGGGAGACCTTTTAGGACTCCTTTTAGGATTTGTCAGGAACCCATAGATTTGTATAGTTGTCATACTTTAAAGAAACGAAGCAGATCACCGCGTGACAACAATTTTTTCACCAATTACCGCGTCATAAAATTTAAAATTACCGCATACTTGTACTCTGAAAACCGCAACACCGTACTTTGAAAAAAAAAATTACCGCAAAATCGCACCAAAAATAACCCAATACCGCAAAGCGTCGCGCGTGGAGCTCCGCTAAGAACACAACGTTAAGGGAAGATCACGAGAAAACGCGCACGTAATAGCCCTGCTACGTTCGTCATAAACAAACATTTTGCCGCCTTCTTCTTTCTGCACTCCTTTTCTATTTTTCACCCGACCATTATTTTTTTTTTCGACGTCGGTTTTCATTCTCGTTCGGTTCCTTGTTGCACTGCGGGCGCAGAGTGTTCCAAGTGTTCGAAAGTGCCGCGTCACGACAATTCGTCATGAAACGTCCCTATGGTAACTGTAAGTTTTGAAAGTTTTAGTTCGCATTTGTTCTTTTGCTACTGTTTGTACCACATCGCCTTTTTTAAATATTGGCGCAATTGTAACATGGTCGCGCTTCAAAAACCGGATAACCAACTTTACGCAGACATTGTTCGGTCTTTGAAACAAAATTCTGGATCTGAGTTTCAACCGCCTTTCGTCGCGCCGCATGGCGATCGAAAAGTCCGAATTCGAACAGGTTGTCATTATCAATCGCAATTACCGGAAGACCATTGGCAAGAAAAGTACAATCGCAATGTAAAACAGAGTGTTCAAGGATTTTATACGCCGGCTCATGTTCCGTATGCTTCAGTTGGAGATGTTTGTTTGAATGTAAAAGACCTCGTAGTGAAAACAGTTGGCGGTGAACAGAGCCAGGAGAAGGTAGGTTGTCAGAACATGCGCATGGACTGCATGACATCCCTGTTCGTCATGTCTTATATTAATATTAGCATCTCGTACAGCTTTTTTTTTTTTAGAAAGGAATTACAAATTTTTTTTCTTTTAAAAAATATTTTCTGTAACTCTGAATAGTTATCCTGAGTTATCTCACCCGGTAAAATTCACCTTGACAACGCATGGAAGGTTGCTACGCCGGGGAGGGGGGAGGGGACTCTGCATATGAAAGGGGTGGGGATGCTCGTCTAAAATTTTGAATTAAACCCCTAAAGGAGACCGATCTGGGCGTGGCCCAAGCTTTTTTTGACCCCTAAAAGAGGCCATGTTTAAACACAAACAATATATACAATGGCGTTTTGCCCAGAACACCCTAAGTGAGACCAAAATCTGCAATTTGCACACCCCTAAGCGAGACGACGACCATCCCCACCCCTTTCATATGCGGAGTCCCCCCCCAAGGTTGCTACTTGTTTCAGCTCATCATACCATTATTTGTAAAAGATTACGATATTATCAAAAGATATTATTATTCGTCATTCTTACGATTTGATGGTATCATTTTGCATGGTTCAAATGATAATGAAGCATGGCTAGCCCTTCATTCAATCTAAACAATTAGAATGCACCACAACTTGCAAAAAAAAACTTGAAGAGATAAACTTATTTGTTATTGTTATTGTTTTAGTGCAAAAATCCTAGTCTTGCCGCTGATCTTTGTGAACAAGAGAAAAAGAAGGACGAAGATCGTGTGGAAACAAGTCAGAAGGTAGGGCGAGAAACCCACATTCTGTTATAAGTAATGGAAAATTATTGT